CTCATAATATGTGCATTTATAATAACTCATAATTAGATGCGAAGTATAACATTTATATAGTCCTACGCATAGATGTCTACGCAGCAAAATTGTCATTTTTCGGCTTGCAATGATCTTGAAAACAGAAACATAGGAAAGAAAAAAACTCGTTGAAACGCGTGATGAAATTATCGAGATCGAACCGATCTAATTTTCTTTTTGTTTTTGTTCAATCTTTCTGAGAATATTCCGTTTACTTACAAAATAATGTCCCTATAGGACGAATTTTTTTTTTTTTATAAGTTTAGTTTGTTTTCGAAACGTCGAGATAATGATAACGATGACAGAAACAAAAGTTGCTTGCCATTCTCTTTATTTATTACTAAAACAGTTGATGATAGATAATGAATCACAATCAATCGATAATATTCTTTAAAAACATGTTGATACTTATTATTAGAGGTTTCTTAACAATGAATTTTACATATGGTTAATCTTTGCTTTCATGAATTGATTGATAGACATATAATCTTTCCAAAAACATCTTAAGTTCAGTAAAATGGAAACCTCTTGTGAAGAAAAAAGTTTTATGATAAATTGTAAATATGATTACTTGGTTGTTTTTTTTTTAATGAAATATTGAGTTTTTTTTTGGCAATCAACATTTACAATCGAGTGAAAGTCGAATATCAATTAATGTCTGCGCCAGAATTAAAGAGGAGTTGGTGTAAATTGAATAACTCAACAACAACAAGAGCTAACGACCTGCGGTTTTCAACAATCAAAAGAGAAAACCGGGAAACGTATTTTGTTACGATATTGTTTCGGACACTGTTATTTCTGAAAATATTTTCTGAGAAGATGTACAGATGGTATGCCAATACAATGAATTTTTATTTTGATATTCTCATTAGATAGAAGAACTGCAGATCTATAGGTCAAGATACAATGCACTTTCTTACTTTTCATTACATTTTCATCGAAATGTCAAGCTATTATGATAAAAAGTACGAAAACAGTAAAAAAATCAGCAAAATTCCCTATTATTTGCGCATGTAAATACATAATTCCATTTGCTAAACGTTAGAATGTAATAAGAGAACCATTTGCATTCTATTTTCAACTATAGATCTGAAGTCCCTTTATCTAATTAGAATATCGAAATAAAAATTCATTGTATTGACATACCATCTGTGCGTCTTCTCAGAAAATATTTTCAGAAATAACAGTGTCTGAAACAATATCATGACAAAGTACATGCCCTGGTTTCCTCTTTTGATTGATGAAAACCACAGGTCGTTAGCTCTTGCCGTTGTTGAGTTATTCAATTTACACCAATCCCTCTTTAATTCTGGCGTGGACATTAGTTATCGTTGTCTTTCACATCATACTTAGAAATGAAATTCCAATGTGAATAATTAACACTTCATTTGATCCAATATATAGTATATGCCAGGTTTTGCCGTCTATGTTGACGTGACATTTGTTATATGTCAAAGAATTCTTTTAAAATAAGAGATATGCAAGATCAGATTTATTTAAACCAACTCTCTGGATCGTAAAGTTAATTCTTTACAGATATCTTCATATGAAATCCAAAAATGTTTTAGAACTCTTTCTTGTTCGTTATAACCTAAATCTTTTAATCGACTGCTCTACGAATCATCTATGAAATGAAATAGTCTCAAATCAAGTTTTTATAACGCTCACAAAAAGAACCGAGCCATCATCACTAACAATGCGTCAATTATTAGCATTGAAATAACTGCATTCCTAGTTGTGTAATTCATGTAGACGTATTCAACTAAATAAAGTCTTTTTCAATTTTACAAACGTATTGAAATTAACTAGAAATGTAATTTCATATACAGTACACATTGATCCAACAAAATATTTTTTCTAATGTTTTCCATACTTTGCTCTTTCAAATAAAAAAAAGAAAATTACAACGATTCAACATTGCGTTGAATAACATGGTATGGTATTGAAACCAATGTCTCAAAATACACTTTTGCACCATATATTATCTAATGTAATCTGTTAAAATCGATTATTGTAGTAAAAACATTTTTCTTACGTTAAAGAACCTAAATCACAAATCTGTTGAGTAATTCTTTCTGGTCTTCACCGTCAATAAGCAGATATTAGGTAAGATTAGAATCCTGCGAGAAAGGACTAATGTTATTTGTCGAGATTCAGGACCGTCCCGCACAACGCTCTGTCGCCGATGATCAATTGTGAGTTTCTATGAAAGATCTTACTTGTACATCCTTTATACAATAATAATTCTTCGGCTATTTCTCTTTTTTTGTTTTTTTATAAGTTTACCTTAGAGAACAGGTTGAATGCTATCTCGTTACTACCATCACGCATTAAATTAAATAAACAATAACTTCTGTTTTTCAAGAAAAAAAAACGAAACCACATAAAAAAAACATATAACATCAAGCAAAACAAAAAATTCCACACTTTTTTTTTAAATATTTCAATCGATTGACAAACGTACGTCATGCAACTGCTCAAAGTCTTTTTCTTAGGTATTCTCTTGATAATTATTATTAATGGTCTGTAAGCATTTTTCTTCTTATTCTACTTACATATTTGTATGATTGATACATAGGTCAAACTACAGAACAACCTAATTATATTTGTCTTGAAAATAATTCTATGATCAAATTTTCATTTTCTTAGTCTTCTCATTCAGCATGGGAATCTTCATCAAGTTGTTCTCTATTCTTGTATAATGACGATACAAATAGCAATAATAATAGTTGTCGCTCATCAATGACACTATGTTTTAATTATCATACAAATAATAATATTAGTTATTGTGCACCTGCTAGTCGTTGTTCAATATTAGAACCTTGTGACAATGTGACAGGCACATGTGTGTCAGATACATCTGTATGTATAATTGATTCATGTTGTGTACCAAAGATAGTATGTTTACCATTATCATGGACTCTATTGTGTTCATTAACAAGTAGGTCTATTATTATAAAACTTTAATAATTGAAATATCAGCTATCAATGACGTAACAACAATGATGACATCAACGACTTTTTCTAGTAAGCATGAAATTATTTGTTATTCTATATTTCATATTATTTATTATAGCATTTGAAGAATACATAAACAAGACAGTCTATATTCAATCAGTATATATTTCTGAACGCTATGTAACCGAATTAGATCATAGTACATATCAAGTTTATCTTCTACCTTTCTCAAATAATACTAGTCGTTTTTATTGTACGACCATGTTTATGGTAACAATGGCAACTAGATTATCCTGAATATCTTTTTATTTCTCTTGAATCATCATTAGAACTTGGTAGTTTTCTTCGTCATTATTTCCATAATATATATCTACATGAGAGTGCAAGTGATAATCCAAATCAAGAAGATGTATATTTGCGAGATACATCATATTTGTTATTTGGAAATACAACAGCCACTAAATTTTGGGGTGTAATTTTATGGATACAATACATACTTCCGGATTATCGACTCTTTGGAAATAATAGTGTTAACGATGAATTCATGGAATTTAGATTTGTATTAAATTAACTCTAATGTTATTAAAAGAAAATAATTCTATTAATAAATTATAAGATATTAAAATGATGTTCAATCTTGATGATTAAAAAAAAACGTAGGCACGGACAAGAAATGTCCTCCAAACGATTAAACACTCTTCAGTTGGAACAATATACAACATATAAATGAGTGTGGATGTGGGATGGGGGCGGGTGTGGGTAGGTGTGGGCTTACTGCGTTTCTTTATCTACACCCACACCCTATTTTGCAAAATCTTTTAAGGTTCTAAAATGTTGTCTTTTACCAGAATTTAGAATCCTTGAAAAATGGTTTTGCACGGAAAAAAGTTCCAATACTCTCTGCAATACCTTTTTTCTTTGCAGAAATTTTTTTAGAAGTTCTCGACTCCGATAAAAGATAGAACACTTGAGAGCCTTAAGGGTCCCCTCAAAAGCCGATCTCAGGCCGGGTACGCTGAAATCATATGAGATTTTTAGGGTTTGTTGGTAATAGCGTGAGAAGGCTGTGGTAAAATTTTCAGCTCAGTATCATGTGTCTGGAGGAGATATTGACCAAACAAGGGTAAAAAAAAATAGCTGATTTTATCTGCAAGAATTCTCTGTGGGACTTCGTTGAATATATGTATCTTTTTTTGTTTGAAAGAACGTGAGCATCTGCAGTTTTTAACGTTCTTTCAAACAAAAAAAGTATTGGATTTTATCTTGTACTATGGTTGAGTATTCTTGCACGTATGTTATCAAGCTCATCTTCTGAGAAAAACGCTAACGAAGTTTTAGAAATGTTTTTTTTTTATACAAATACAGGAAATAATGATATATTGATAATATTTATGTGAAATTTTTCAAAGCACGCAATAGATGGCGTAAGCTAGCACTACAGGTTGTACTATATGATATAAGAATGTTTATTCCATGCTGATAGAAGTAAAAAAAGTAGTCTTCCCAAAAATAACAAAAACCGCGAAAATCTCTCCGAAAACCGGGTAGTGAGGTGGAAATCTGCTATGAAAGTCTGTAAAAATTTGACCTTGTTTTAAAAATTTATGTATTCTGAAAGAGGAAACTTCACTGCATCTTCCTATGATAAGAACTCGACTTCGATTCCTTTACCGAAAAATGGATTTTTTGATGGAGGGAGCTTCTTAAAAGATTGCCTTCTTTTTTTCTTTCAGAGTGTAGCTTTATTCTTCTGCAAAAATATATTGCAAAGCATGAAAAATCAATAAGAACAGATGGATGAAAGGCGAAGACTGATTGGTACGATATATGAACCAATTACAATGTGTATTTGCTATATAACGTAATGAAAATCACGAAGAACATGCAAACATATTTCTATTTACTCGTGTGAGACACTTTCTTTGCTTATTGATCTCGACCTTGGAAAGGTGTTCTTCGAGTGTCTGTCTTGATCTAGCTCGAATAAATCTCGATTTATTCTTCTATTTGTAGTAAGAGCGATGAATACTGATGCATTAAATCAGGAACGTGCGACTGTATTATATGAAACGATAGAGATGTCACCAGAAAATATTCGCAGGTTTTTTTAGCGTTAAAAATATCTTTTTATCGTATAAACTGATGTTATTTTTTACTTTAGTCGTCAATCAACATCACAACCAGTCTCATTATTAACATTAGTCTTCAATGTTCTCTCATTTGTTATCAGTATGATTTTTATTTATTTGATATAATTGTTATTTTTTTGAATAGTTTTCTTAACATGGTTATTATTAAAATATATTATTAAACCAGTACGAAGATCATTTTTATGTTCAGATTTAAATTTATATCATCCACCACCAACACACGAGGTCTTTCCAAATAGGCTTCTATTTTTTTGCGCATTTATAATACCATTGATTGTGGTACGTTGATTAGTTCAATATTATTTATTAAAGATTTTCTTTTTGATCTTTATTTAGTTGGTTCTGTCTGAAGGTGTTCGTTGGTATTATTTACTTCGTAAAAAAGCAGCAAAAGTTGTTTATAAAATTCAAATTCGTTCAAAGACTTATAATATTCCTGAATGGTCTGGGAATCTTTATATTATTGTTGGTATGTTTTAATGTATCATTTAATTTCAATTAAATATTGTTCTCTTTTTTTGTTTATTAATTAGGTGTTTTTCTTTTTGCTATTTCTATTAATTTATTTTTAACTTACTTTGGCAAAGTAACTGTTGGTCGATTACGACCACATTTTATTCCGTCATGTTTTCAGAAATTTTCTTATAAAGAATTTTGTCAAGATCCAAATGAATGGATTTCTAATTATACATGTTTGGGAGAATCAAGCCATGCGGTCAAAGAAAGAGATGATGTCTATGATATTCGGTATGTTGAGTATGCTTGAAAAGAAATCTTTGATACAAATTATTCTTTTGAATTAAAAGTAAATAGCAAGTAAATAGGGGATTTGTGGCTTGCAATGGCGTAATCAGGGGTGGGCTAGTCCCGGCACCGTTCGAGCACCTCTAGCCTTTGCCAGAGCACAGAGAGAAAATAATTATAATAATAACTAGCGAGAGCTCGTGCATACTGCACGGCTGCTTTTTTTCTGTAAAGTTTCGCATCTCTGCTTTAGCCTTGATTCGGTAATAGACAATCAGACACTTCGCATTATATATATAGCTAGACCTTACAGCCTTATACTCTTGTAGTCTTACCCCCTTGTAGCCTTATACTCTTGTGGTATTACCTCTTATAGCCTTATTCCATTATTCCCTTATCCCTTATATCCACCATACGGCCTTATCTATTTATTCCCTATACCAATATCTCCTTATACTCTTTTAGCTTTATCTCTTATGCCCCTGTAGTCTTAGCCTCTTATCCCCTTTATCCTTATATTCTTATCCTCTTACCCATTATAGCCTCATATCCCTGTAGCCTTATCCCCTTATCCTCTAACCCCTTATAGCCTCATAGCCCTTGAGGACCTATGGGTACTCCCATATAATAGCCCTTGTGGCCTTTCCCTTATAGCTTTATTTGACCTCTGATCTTTGGCCTTTGACCTTTATCCCGTACTGACAGACACACACTGAACATTATATATATAGATTTTCGCTAGGATTTTGTCCTTTTTTATTTGCTACATGGCTCTGAGAAATCTGCCAGTGAGTTACATCTATCGAATAAAATCTAGATCAACAGATGAGCAAGCATAGCATCTGTTGTATAATTAATTTTCGTTACTGTTTCTGTGATAGACAAAAAAAGTGAAAAACAATCACTTTATAGATATTACTTCAAAAATTAAATTCTACAGTTTATAAATGAAACAGTGTAGCAAACTGCTGAAGCGTAATTACTATTCAGTCTTTTTTGAGTTTCACTGATCGAAAAGAATAAAAAATCTGATGGCTCTTTAATCTGAGATTAATCAACAGTCTTTTACTCAGATCAAACTGATTCATCATTTCCTACAAGTGAACAGCAACACCGAGAATAGATTTCTTTATTATCATCATCACATTTTCCTCTATTAGTATTTCTATCATCAAATAAAAAAACAACAAGAACAAAGTTCTTTATCTTCATCACTAAAGGATCCAGCATAAAATGCTACTTATATTATTCTTAGGTGGTGAGGATGGCTAGGTACTTGTGGGCCTCAGGATGTATATGTGGGTCGCAGCCGAGGGTAATATATTCATCTCATACCATCACTTACTCTCACCCTAGTGTACATAATAGTATGTCTGCCTGAGATATGATCAAGCCGACATCAATAAAATAGGCTTACTTTCACTTGTTGTGAAATATCATATCTCTACTTTTGTAAAGGGTCCGAAAGTTAAATATATCTAAGAAACTCGGTCATACATGCCAATTCATCTGAATTTGAGAACACAGTTAGACTAGATTCAGAAGTATTAAGGAGTCAAGAGAGAAATATTCCTCTTGAACGCTGTCTTTTATGTATCAAAATCTCTAAAAAAAAAAAAAGAGAAAAAAGTATGCTTTTTTTAAAGTAGTCTTGATGATATCTTTGGAGGAAAATGCCATGGGCACGAACACTTTTTAGATTTGCTTAGTCTTACCGAAATGTACTTATGACTATAGAAAATGAAGTCAAAACCTCGGAAATGGTTGAGATAGTTCCCTAGTTAATAAAACCACAGATGCATTGTAGTGTCTCTTGCTTAAAAACGTGAAAATTCATGAATTGTATTTGAACTGTGAAAAAGATTTAAACTATCGTGTATCTACTTTTTTCCAAAATTGTCGGACACTGCCTGGGCACCTATGAATTTCTGGTTACGCCGCTAGTGGCTTCAGGATACTCTTTCCTTCAAACATCTATTCATGATATATAAAAGAATATGATAATAATTAATCAACGATGATTTCGTTAGTCGATTCAATTCGGAGCCAGAAAGAGTGATTTTGACCAAAGATATATGTTCTCTATCGGAGTTTGGCAACTTGTATGTTGATTATTTATGAAGCCTTCGTTTTTCATTTTATTAACTTTTGTTTCTGTTCAAACCAATTAGTATGACTGTGCGTAATACCAAATAATAAAAACGATTTATACAATTTGATAAGTCAATTTTTTGACAGGAATTAAGACGTGATAGTATATCGATGTGCTGCATACTTTAGATATTGATCTTATGTCTGTTGAAGACAGTACAATGGTGTTTATGACTCCATGATACATAGCTGCTACATATACTTTAACAATCTCCACCTTTTGACGAACTTAAATAGCGTATCAAGACTGCATCTATTATTGTATGCGTTTTTGGTGCGTGTCTCCATGGTTTCGATCAACTTTTTCAGATGTTGAACAAACAATGGTTCTCCAGTGCTACTGTAAATAGACTAAAATAGATAAGAAATATCTTCGAGTTGAAGATCCATAGAGAGCATATATCTGAAAAACAAAGAAGTTTTCTATCATCAGGAAATTGGTTTATTGATAAATCTTAAGTTGAATACTCAAATATATAGGCATGATATAGTTGAGTATCTCTAGAGCGATCAATTCTCATTTGTTACAATGAAGAAAACAACCAACTGAATTAAGGGAATCTAACGCTGATTATAACACTAAAATACAGTTAAGTTGATTATGTAGACAACAAGCAAGTAAAATCTATTTAGATAATAACAGACAATAAGAAATTTTTAAAAATTTCAGTTTCATCTTCGATGCTAGGTAATAGTTGAAGAATTAAAACTAGAGAATGTTTAGCAAACCAATAGTATTCTTAATAAAGTATTCTTGTTTAAAAACTTATGTCAAAGTTAGATAGTTCCACCAGAGTTTATTTTCATTTAGAAGTGAAAATATCACCTATACATGTGAAAAATATCTTTTTTTTTTATTGGCTTCTCGAAAACAAGATATTTTAAATTTTTAATGTATCATGTTTTCTTTATAGTCAATCATTTCCATCTGGGCATGCCTCATTATCTTTCTATGGTTTAATGTTTTTAGCTGTAAGTTCTCTTTTTTCAATTTTTATTAGAGAATATTGAATTATTATTTTTATTTCTAGCTTTATATTCATAAAGTTTGGAATTATCGTAATATTGGTCTATTTCCATATGTTATGGAAATGCTTTGCTTTGCTTTAGCTTCATATATCGGTATGTGTTTATTTATATCTGTCGTTTTGAAGTATTTGTTTTTCGTTGTTTTTTTAGGTATTACACGTATTACAGACAATCGTCATCATCCTACAGATGTTCTTGGCGGTGCCATTTTAGGAACTGTTGTTGCTACTATTGCTGTAAGGAAGTTTAAGTTTTTTTGGAATTAATATATTGTTATTTTGGTTTTCTTTAGTTCCGCTGTATGGTTAACTCATTTAAACGATCAGTTTCATTAGATCTTGGTAGTGAGCATCAAGAGACTAAAATTTAACTAAGACAATGTATGAAATCATTTTTTTTTCTCGTATACTCATTTTTCTATTTTATATACATGCGTTTAATCAAAGAGTAATAGTTAATCGCTTTTACTTATTTTATCTCTTCTGAATATGCCGTTTGGTTTAATAAAAACACAAATTATCATGACCAAAACATCGCTATTTTGTGCTTCTCGCTTTTCTTTTTGACTTAAAATTTTTGTGTGGATAAAAATGTTTCATGATATAGTTTTATAATGTATTTCTCTTACAAGGGAAGATTCCCAAGTGTGAGTCTCAGTTTTTAAAGGGATCTATATCAGTTTGTAGATCTCGACGAGCTGATTCTTGTGGTATATTTCGTTTTTCCCCATAGAGCTTTAAAAGAAAAAAAACAGTAGCGTTTATATGACGGATAACATACGAAATATCGAACTCTTTAAGACAATATTCTGAGAAAAGATCAAATTTAACAATCGATTTTGGTATTTTTGGTTGTTCATTCTCACATGACAGATTAAAAAAATATTTAAAGATACGTTGTTTTCTATATTTCGGTATTGGCTTTTTGCGAAGCTAAATCATTTATTCTTTGCAGTTCAGAGGATTCTAAATCCATGAAAAAACTATGTTATACATTTCAAAACTTAAGCCTTATGATTTTGATATTTCAACACTACGATAGACTATCAGTTTACTATTTCATTCGCTTTATTCGAAAAGAATATCTAGAATAGAGTCAATGAAAATGATACATGACAAAAAAAAATGTTCGAAACACAAAGTTCGTCGGCAGTGAATACAACACATGAAAGCATTTTCATCACAAGTATTAGATGAACAATTGTTTGTATCGAAAGAAAAGTAAACTTCTATAACGTTTCAAAAATTCGGATATGGCCTGAGAATGTAACTACATACTGATCACGCATACGTATATGTCAAACTTGAAACTTGAATTCAATTGAAATTTCAACTTTGAAGTTTGAAGTTTCAATAGGTTTATGAGCCTCGACTCAGAAATTTACTTTTAATATACGGAATCTTGTATTGTGAGAAACATGATATCACTAAAAGCTAGTATCAAGTAAGAATAGTGTTGATGAATGTGAATAATGAAATCGTTGTAGCTATTCTCAAAGCATTACAGCAACAGGAACACGGAACGGGAACGAAAATTTTGTTACGGGAACCAGAAAAGTTGTTCCCCCAGGTCTCTGGCAAAGACACCACTTGACATTGATCTGAAAAGAAGACATCAACATAATGTCGTATGAGTGATATTTGCCGAACGTACCACTATTGAATCTTTAAATTGAATAATTATATCGAACGTAATTTAACTGAATATGATTGACTTGTGCGATTCTCAAGTTAGTTAAAAATATTGGTAAAAAAAAAATGTTTAACTAATTGGCACAATTAAACAAATTTTATATAAACAATAGTGACTCTATTTAATAATTAAAATGAATGAGTGATTTTTAAATAAAAGGATTAAATAGTAGTCAAATCTATGTACAATTTGAATTATCGATCGAAAAGATTTAAAATTCTTTTGATATTCTTTTCATTCAATGAGTTTCTTCATTTTTTAAATTAATTTCATCAATGATGATGACATAAAAAATATTTTATATTTTTTTTTTATATATGAAATGGATGAAAAAGTCTCGAGTTGATTTATATTATCACTTTTTCTATAATAAAACACGTCTTACAAAATGGCTTCCGATTAAACCCATTAGCTCGTCTAAGCAAGACAATTATAGGCTAAAAATGTATTTCACAAAAAGCAAAATATAGCCGCAAAGCTTATAGAACATAAAAAGAACAAAAAAAATAGCTAAATACATCTCGAGTATTCAGTTAATCCACACCCATATTTTAAAAGAGATAATTTTGAATCTTTTATTTCAGCAGTTCTTGATATATTACATTTTGATCAATCACGACAATATGGAGGAAGATGGCTTATGAGCAATGTTAAATTGAAATTTAGTACTTCAAATGTGTTTAATCACTATTTGTGAAGTACATGTCTAAGGTTATAACTTTTTTTTGTACTATATGAACTAATGGAGTAAATCAAAAGCTATTATTAAAGGCGTGTTTCATTCAAGGCAAACTTATTACACAAATTGAATTAGGACTTCTGTCTCGCTTTTTAAAGTGAATAAACATTGAAACATGCCAAAGAAAAATAGGAACAGAATAGAAATTAAATTGAATTTTCTATGGTCTACAAACGTTATGATAAGATAATCATATTAAAAAAAAAAGTATTTTTATCTAGAATTTTTCATTTAGTTCTTACTTCTCATCTGTAATAAATTAATTTAAATTTACTAATAAAATTCTCAAGATAAAGAAAAGATTTATTCTATAAGTTTAATTTTGACTATTATGAAATCGAATATATCTTTCGATATTGTTTAGTAGAAAGTGCCTACAAAAACAGCTGTTACGAGCTTTTGTGACATACTAGTGGATCTAATATTTTGGAAAAAGGGGCGATTATGATTACAAAAAGTGTTTTGAGATCTGTTAAAAGTCATATCCGCTTATGTTTGGACTTTTTTTTTTCACTGAAAAAAAAAAAGAAACAAAAAGTATTTCGGAAGGAAATTGCAATCACCCTCAATACTCTTTTTTTTCAAATCTGCCACTTAGTTTCATTAAAAGTGCATTCATAGATTTCTAGTTCGACATGGATTTGATGATTTATATGCTTATATACCATATTATATTCAATTTTTAAATGATAATATGAATATATGTGTGACGAGTTCTTTAATTAAAGAAAAATCATAGTCAAATTAGATAATTTGAAATTGTTTGAATAAATAATTATATCGAAGGCGAATGAAACATTATATAAAGTTCATCAGAATTATTTTCTAATTTTAAGAAGTACTGTAAATAGATGACCTGACTGCAAAAATTATCTATTAAAAAAAAAACCAGTGTCAAAAAAAAAAGAAATTAATGGTATATAGGTCAAACTTTTATTACAGATACAATTTAGTTAGTAAGAGAACAAAATTTTATGAACAGAAACTTTTTTTTTTTTGTCTAATATATTCTTTTCCAATGGAAAAAATTTAAGAATATTCTATTTTTTACACATTTTTATTGTATTATTTCTCCTACATGTAATTAAATATAGTTAAAAATATCATATACTATAGAATTATCTAGTAATTCTCGATCTGTCTATCAAATTTTCAAAGATATAAAGGTTACGGCAAGTGAAACGAACAAATATTTATAATCTATTTACAAAAAAAATCTGTCGTTAATCAAATAGTTTTACTATTCCTAATTCTTTTTCTAATGAGAAGTCTCCTCTCAATAAAATGCTTTTTTTTGTCTGACATATTAATATCGATTATGAAAGTTCCATCTGTTTATCATTTCACAAACATGACATAGACAATCGTGATTTGATATGAAAGATATTAAAAAATCGATGATGAAGAGAACTTTTTTTGAAAATCATGACATCAAGTTTAATCAAATAAAATATTTATACTTGAAACAATGCTTGACAGATCAATATTCATTTATTTCTCACGATCAAGTCGAGACTATTCATTAAAAACTTATTCAATAATTAATATATAAAGAAATTCATTTTTTCATCATGTCTTTGTTTATGCAAGATAGTGCTATTGTATGAATTCCTTTCGAGATAATGCATTTCTAACAAAATTTTGATTAAAATCAATATAAAAATATATTATTTTACCAATTAATATTTTAGACTAAACTAAGACATATTATGTATTATATATACCAAAAGTAAATGCCTTGTTTTTTTTTTGTTGTCTCATAACCTTAATAATGAAAAGTTTATGTTTTAATATCTTTAAACAAAACTAGTAACACGATACTGATGTCATTTGATAGATTACTAATGTTACATTTAATATGATCTAGCTAAAATATCATGACATTCAACAAAGTTCAAAGAAAAAAAAGTTATGATCTAATTCAAAGTACTGTAAAATCACTTCAAGAAGAAAGATTTCACCTTCTGTATGTAAATTGTTTCATTCAATAGTCATTTTTCTTTTCAACTTGAAAATTGATAAGATGAAATTCTTAATATGAACAAAGATGATATATTGCTTTCAAAAAAAAAAAAAGAAAAAAACTGAAACAAAATATTTTTATTCGTATTTGTTTTTGAAAAAACAAATCTATTAATGCACTGCGTGCGTAAAAAAATCAAGTAAATAACTATGTTCTAGTCTGATTAAATATAAAAGACAGTTCCTTGAAGCAAAGGAAATAACATAAGAAAAGAAAAGAAAATGCTTTCTAGAAAAAATAAATTTGTCTATCTTCCGTTGTATTTTTTTTTTTGTCTCAATATATTTTTTTTTATCAAAAAAATATCTTATAAAAATGGGTAAGCTTTTATATATATACATATATCAAAGATGTAGATCATTTTCATCCTAAAAATGACAAAGATTATCAAGATTTCTTTTTTATTTTATTATATTTAATCAAGATTGGCATATAATAAAATGGATCAAAATATTTTCTTCTGTTTTAGGGCATTTTTCAATATGACATAAAAGCTTAGTTTTTTGGGCTCATTTAATAATAAAATTTTTATATTATAAAATTATTAACTTAGTTTTTTTTTAATTATCGAAATAATATTTAAAAGATTAATATCTATTCAAATATCGAATTGCAATAGTTAAAGACACAGAAAAAACGAAATAATGAACAGTTATCAATAAAATTTTTCTTATTGAACATGATAATCATATCATTTTATTCCCATTCAATTGTACAAATATAGAAACATAGTTTAACCTTTGAAAGAGCTTGCTTTTATAAAAATATATCTAAAAAACAACATTAACAGATGTTCGATTGACGTTTTGTTTTTCTCGGAACGATAGTATCAATAATTCCTATGACATAATTTACTTTTTAGTATTAATCATTATGAAAACATACAAGAAATCAAACTTTGACAAGTAAGTTGATAAAAAAAACAAAACATGATAGCATTGTGGTAATAAAGTCAACAGTTTTGTCACGCACAAAAAAAAGAAATTTAATCCAATGAGTTTATATTTGAGACTTTAGTATATTGAAAAATGCTCTCAAATTAGAAAATATTTGAACAATTGTTTTTATTATGTGCTCTGCGTTATACTAAAATGTTTATTTTTGTCTTTTTTCTGTTTTTATTAACGCCTCTTCGAGTTTTTTTTTTGTAATAGGAGAAGTTTTGCACGTCATAGCGTACATTTACAACTTCTTTATTGAACTATTTAGATTTATGAATGTCAAGAAGTGAATAAAAATTTTCTTGATTAATTTAATATTTAAAAAAAATAAGAATGGATAAAATTGATATTTTTTCACATCGTTTAATGATTATTATTGGTATAATTATGTTTATATTTGGTTTAATTGGAAATATTTTAAATATATATGTATTTTCAACATGGTCTCGTTTAAAAAAACGATCAAAAAGAAAATCAAATAATATTCGATCAAGTAATAGTTCATTATATTTATTAACATCATCATTATCAAATTTAATTATAATTATTTATCCATTTTTAACTCGTATTATATTTGATGGTTTTCAATATTCAATAGAACCTCAACATGAATTTATATTATGTAAATTTCGTTATTATATATTACATACATTTGATTTAATATCATTAACATGTATTTGTATGGCTATATTTGATAGATATTTAATATCATCACGTAAAGTACGTTTAAGACATATGAGTACAGTACGAAAACGAACAAAACAAGTTATTCTATTTGTATTTATTCTTAATAGTATACATTGTATTCCAATAGGATTTTATTTTGATGTATCAAATAAAAATTTATGTAGAATTGTATCAAGAAAATTTTTATATTATTATTTATGGATATTTCAAATAATTCTTCATAGTATAATACCAATATTATTTCTTACAATATTTGGTACATTAACATATAGACATTTAAAAAAAATTAAACGAACAAAACGTAAAGGTATATTAAGTAGTGATAAACGTTTATCTCGTATGTTATTATTAATGTCTGTTGCAATAGTTTTATCATCAATACCATATTGTATTGAACATATTTATTATATAATCATACCTAATGCTCGTTCAAATCAAACATCATTTACATATCTTTATCATGTTATTACTTCAATATTATTTTATGTTAATCCTGTAACAAGTTTTTATATATTTTTTATTTCAACACCTAATTTTCGTAGACAAGTACGAAAATTAATGTTTTGGAAAAGACCTATTTATCATTATGATCATGAAACATTCACTATGATAACTGTGACATGATTTACACATAAGATTTTTTTTTGCTTTTTCAAAATAATATCTATTGGAATTAATACAAAAAAAAAACATTTTCTATAAATATCTATGAAAACTAAAGCAAAATAAATATTGTTTGACCTCTAAGCAAAACTATATTTAGTATTCTTTTGTATTTTGTTCGTTTAAATTTGAATAGAATTCAGAAAAGAACTGACTTCATAATAACAAAAAAAAAAGACACGTACAGATAAAAAGAACACGGATGAATCTTTCTTTAGTCATAGAGTAAAGAAAAGAATTTCTTCTGTTGATATTAATAAAGCTAATATTATCTCAGCAATCTTCGATAAGCTTTACACAAGATTCCATTATTTTCTTTTCTTTTAAATTTAATGCTCATACAAATTAATTCGCATCACTGATATATGATATTATTCAATATCCATATTGATTAATCATTTGAAAATAGCTAGAAAAGTCTCCAAAAAAAAAATATGATTTCATATTGTGAGATTTCTAGAGATATCATTTAATCAGTTAATGCTATAAGGGATTTATATGAATAAAAGATAAGAGTATTGTTTTCTATATTTTATCATGTTGCTAATTAAAAAAGAAACAAAAAGATGAACTTGTCGAATATCGAATAAATTAAACCTTTAAGCACAATCCTATAGGATTAAAATGTTACAGATGATGTAACTGCTGTATCTATTTTGTAACATATCTCTTTACGATCGTTCTACTTTTATCCTCGAGCAATACAATAATAAAACAGTTCATATATTATAATGAGACATTATTCGTCAACAATCTTTGATTATGCGTCAATAACGCCCTATGTCAAGGTCTTGATGATTATACTAAGATTAATACTTAGTCAATGTATATTTTGCTTAAGAGGAATCATTTTTCAGGGGCTATTTTTCCGACATTCTATTAGAAATAAAAGGTTAAAAGATACGTTAAGCTGGAATATATTTATAAAAGTAAAATAGTAAGTGTCAAGGACATTCATGACAGTTTCTGTATAGGATTATATTTAATTAATTTTAATTCATTTAGATTAATATATATATATATATGCGAAGATAAAATTTTAGCATGTCATGCAATATATTAACATAGAAACAACGTGTGGTTTTCCTTTCACTTTTATTTTTGATCGCTTCTTCTACATCTTACATATGAATTAAAAATAAATTAATTTTATTTTTTGTATTACAATAAATATTTGTAATCATCTTTCGTTTAAATCACATATGAATAAATAATTATAGAATTATTTAACTATAAATAAGAATTCTACAAGAAAGTTTCTCAATTTCGTTCATATAAAAAATTTTAGCAAATCATCTGAAAATTAATAATCATTCGAAAAATTCACAAGAAATATTAAAATAAAATCTTTTGTTTTTTTATTTCGAGTGTTTATATCGATGAAATGAAATACTATTCTGATTGATATGTACCGTGAATTACGATCAATAAAACATGAATAACAATAACAACGATGTTAACTATGTAATAATCTAATCATATTTTTGCATGAGCATTATCAACAAGATTAGAATTCAAGAAGTTTTATCTCTGTGGAAATTTCTATCCCTTTAAAAATAAAATATTTTCTCATACTACATTTTTCAATTCAATACTTGAAAAATTTATCATTAATAAATTTTTAAAATCTCATTTGATGATGTTTTCTGATGCACTCAAATCAAAGTTAGTTTTGACTGATGGATGTTTATCAAATAACAAAGATTCATATGGACCCGTTCGAAAGTATATTTTTCGTTTTGATCTTTAGTATTTAGTTTTAAATGTTATGAATACTTATATACAAAAGTCAAAAATATTAAGATCAAATATCGAAGTGATTGCGTAGTCTCGTATTTTTGTCAAATTTAAAAGTGTTATATATTAATTAATAGTGCAGAATTCACTTTATAGATCCTGATTGAGTCAATTTTATTAATGAAAGAAAAAATTCAAATAGAAACTTTAGTCGAACTAAACGTCGTCAAATATAAAAATACGAGAATTTATTTACAATAAGTTTTACATACATTTCAAGATTTACACATGATTGATGTTAGTATTGACATCAATATTTGTCTTGATTGTTTTCTTTCATTTTGAAAAACAAAATCAAACAATTAATTACATCTACATATAGTAGAAATGAAATTTTATTTAGAATAAAATTCTTTTTGAAAAAATAAAATAAGTATAACTTAAATAGGATTTATAATCATCTGATTTTTCTTTTATTTTTGAATTATATATATAGTTCAATATTGATTTAAAAGTTGATTAATTTCTTCTTTTAAACGTTGTTTATTCATTTCGAGAGCTATTTTCAATATTGATTCACACCAAGGACACATAAATTCTGTTCGATTTTGTGCAAATTCTTCAAGTGTTATTTGTTTAATTTGTAATTGTTCATAGAAATTTATTGTACTATTATGAAGTTCAACTTTTATTAATTGTAATCAATATTGATTAAAAAGTTTTTCATCAACACATTCATTATATGAACGAATATATGATGAAATTGTATAATTATATAATTCTTCTGATGTTAAACAAATTTCTTAAGCACATTTATAAAGAAGATTTTTTGCATTTTGATTTCCACATTGTCCTTGTTCATTAAGATAAGGTATAACAAGAATAAGAATACCATCTGGTATTAATTCATATGATCGATTTTTAGGAATACACCATTGCAACATGACTTATTCTGGATTTTAATGAAAAAATCCATCTCCAAAAGTTCTTTAGCATTTTTCTCAAAACACGGTTTCTAGACAAAAAAATTGAAATAACTCCCGCTCGACTAGGCATATAATCCGTGATATTTTTTTTGTTTTAAAGGTCTTGATTAGAGCTAACTTTTCATCGGACGGATTTTTGATATTGAATCCCAGGACTAAGAATAGTGGGATTTGCTGTCGTAGAATCACACTTTTTTATGCTTATTTTGCAAGCATGCTCACAAAATTGCTCATAAAAAATGAATGGAAGGAAGTTTCAAAATTCCGTCCGATGAAAAGTTGCGTACAGAGGCTAGCTACAATTTGAAACCAGCTCGAGCTCTATATCCCTTCTCTGGACCGAGTTATTTCGATTCTCCCGAAAGGTAGGAAACTCAGCCGAAATTGCGTTTTAGTCGGACATGTCAAGCTGAAATTTTTATCACAAACGTTTCTCGCTAAGATCAATCATTCCTGAAAATTTCAGCCCAAACGGAGGGTTCCAAGTGGGACTTCATTTCTGAGGGGGGGGGGGGGGGGGTCCCCTTAAATGCTAATAATTCATCATCAATAGTATATTAAGAAACACAATGATTTGAAATATTACATAGTTTTTTTTTGATAACCATTGTATTGATGTTGATGAATAACCAATTGAAAGAGAATTATTAGGTAAACATTGTTCGTAAAATGAATGACCACTAGCTACAGCTTTATAAGAATAAGTTGAAAAACTTTTTCTCAATTATTTGTTGGAAGATCATTATGAATAATTAAAGGTTCTTGAAAAATTTTTTTCTTTTTCACGTAAATAATTAATTATTAATTTTATAGCATAAATTGAATTTTGCACCATGAGATGTATCAAAATCAGCTATAATTAATAAATTATTTAATAATGAATTATCAATATCTAATGCATCAATTGCTTGATGAATAAATGAAATAGATAAATCAATTGCAGCTAACTGAGGTTGAGAATATGTATTATAAGATTCAGTTACATTTACTATAGCTTCGGACATTATCGTCGTTATCAATGGCATAAAAAAATAAGAAAGAATACAGATGGGTATGAATTTTATTTGTTTTTATTATATTCAATAAAACAAAGCAAATATATGAATCATTCGTATTAGGTAGTGACGCGCTATCTGTGAGGCACTACCTCTCTTCTCGCTATATTGGTTATTTTATTCACTTATATTCTTCTTCTTTTGTTTGCCGTGTATGATCATATATATATACAGATATGTACTAGTTTTTTCTTCGAAGTACATGTATGTGAAGATTAAAAAATAAACAACAGTTAGTTTTACAGACTGAAAATCTCATATTCATAACTGTAGTCATCTACTACAATAATGCACAACATGTTACTTAGGTTTGTCCTTTGCTATAATGTACTTGAGATAAATCAGTTTTTGTACATTCGTCTGACTAATTGTTATAACGAGAACTGCATGTGTCTCTGTGATTCCGAGTAACATATCACTTATTTCAAGTTCGCACTTAATTATTATGTACAATTGTCAAAGTCGAGATTAGTATTCAAAATATCAGAATGTGAGGGAATAAGTAACTATAATAGATCGTTTCGAATGTTAACATAAAATTGAAGAGAAGGGGTGAATGATTCAGATAAAGTGTGTGACCAGGATCGAAATGGTGGAATGTTATTCTATGAAAATATGATCGAGAGTGTGGGCGTGATTACACGTAAAGAGAAGACCAGAATTTACATTCAACCCTTCGAAAACCTGAAAGAAAGAGAGAACATAGGAAGAACGCGTTATCATTCAAAAAAACCAAAGGTTAGAAAAAAATAAATTGTTCTGTAATTTGTGAAATCACAGAACATATTTAAAAACTGTATCACTTCAATATTCACCTTCGAAACTTCACCAAGTTATTTTGTTTTTTTCAGATTTTAATAGAAAAGCATTTGTATCAACATCCGCACTGATCATTTACAAGTTTTCATAGCAAAGAATGAATTCGTTATAACGCTGAAATATTTGAGAAAGTCTTATTAATCGTTAACCACCGTCTGACTTTACTGAGGGAGAAGAACTTGTTAACAAGCACCTTCACTTTTTCTGTCACATTATAAATGAAGCTTCATCTCACATCGACTAAACATTCGGTCAACAAAAATTGTGAATCACGTCACAATAATAATAATTAACGTTTTCTCAGAATATTTTTAGAAATTTGGCAAAGATAAAGAATAACCTGCCATGTTTAATTGTGCAATGAAAATTCATCTCTTCGATTTTCATTTGGATTTCTCTTCTAATTTTATCACATACAAACAAATATAGTGAGTCTTATTTGAATGTGAAAAGTCAAGCAAACAATCTTTTTCCTATTGAATGGACTTGTATTTTTGTCTAGTGACCATAAGTCAGAAATGCAAAAGCTACTATTTTTATTGTATGAAACTGTCGTTAATCACCATGGTCGATGGAAAAATGATCGAGTGAAATGTTGCTATTATTCATGTATTTGACATTAGTCCTAGTAATACAGTAAGATTTTCAGCGCTATGTTACTGTACGAAGTGATCAATAGATCTATGTAACCGCATAGTTCATTAAAGCAAATGATGGGTACGAGGAATTCGATCATCTTTCAATATCGTTCATCAGTTTAGACATGGGTCATGTTCTCGATCCCGATCAATTCTTCTCTGAGTGTCGGATGACAAAGTGAAACACACTTGATTACCAGTTGCATTAAAGTAATCGTTTATTATACCACAATGTGACCAATATTTAATTTGGTGATAAAGAAACGTTGTCTCCCTTTTTTGATGAATATCTGATATGATATTTCTACATAATGGCCTTTCATATTATCAAAAACAACAGTCGAGAGTACACAATCTTTTCCTCCCCTTCATAAATACCAATGTTTGAAAAAGACACATTTTTCTTTCATCGATAATTTTAATACTTTAAAGCGCACGGCATATCGGGAATTTCAACTGTTCGATAGAATGAACTTCAAATTATCTTCGACTTTTGCCAGTTTCAAAAGCAATTTTTGGAAATTTGAAGAACGCTCAAAGACGAATAACAAGTGTTCTAACTAAATGGCAAACCAGAACATCTAGACCATATTAGAATATACAAAACAGGATTTTCTGAAGCAACCTAATTGAAAATGATTTTATTCTATTTAATTCGTGATGATCTGTGTCTAAAGATAAGATAATTCGATTTAAAATGGCTCTGTTCTTCGATCACTTGTTCAAGATTATGATGAGAACGTTAAAGCAGTGCTAATCATCAACTTCGATCAATGTTGAACTTTTGTACTCGATGATTTCTACTGTCACTCACATAGAGATTGCCTTCACGATCAAATGACAAATCAGTAGGACCCTGGAGTTGATTTGATTGATTTCCTTGACCATTTCCACCAACGATGACACTTCCTTGTGTAGCTCCTTGAACCCAACGCATTATTCGATTATTCAAACAATCAGCCACATAAATAGTACCCGATTGATCGACGACTATTCCATAAGGTTGTGATAATTGTGTAAGACTATTTCCTTGTCCTTGACCACCAGCCACAACAATACCTTGTTTTGCATCTTTCATCCACTTCATCACACGATGGTTGCCGCAATCTGATACATAAACTGAATGATCTTGATCGACGAAGACATATCTAGGATAATTCAACTGATCGAGACGGCTTCCTGATCCATTTCCACCTGCAACTATTGTTCCTTGGCTTTCTCCCATTTCATGTCTTCTGACCGCATGCTTATCAAAATCAGCAACATAGAGAGATCCATCATCGTCCATTGTCAAGCCATGACATCCAACATTTGAGATGATTGTCTCTCCATTAGTACCATTTTGACGAGGCCAACAAACAACTCGTTTATTTGCATAATCGCAAATGATGAAACTATCTCTTTCTTTGTCCATAATCACATCTGTCGGACCACTTAATTGATCTGAACGGTTTCCTTTCCCATTTCCACCAGCCACAACTCGACCAGTTATCGTATCACATTTCCATTCCACAATACGATAACAACAGTAGTCAGCAATGTAGACAGATTGATTATCATCCACACATAGGCTGCATGGATCACTCAATTGATTTATTTCGCTACCTCGTCCATTTCCTCCAGCCACAGTGACACCATTCTGTATCCATTTTGCGTTTATTTTCAGATTTGCATTTTGTAGAAATGGTGCTGTAACAAAAGACAATTTCATTGATTTGTATGATAGTTTTTATGAAGTTGTAGAAAATTCACTTAAACTTTCATAACGATTCTAGAGTTTCCACTATGGATGATACAGAAGATACTGCAAATAATTTCCAAACACCTCAATCAACAGATTTCGTAAAATATGTCCGTTAATTTCATAATCTCCCATACCTCTTTTAATAGAAACTGGAAAAATATTGTGGAAATTGAAACCAATCATTTAGTCCTTGCAATGTATAAATCGATCATTTGCAAAAGTTTGAAAAAGAAACAATTATCTGAACTCTTTCATATTTGAAGGAATATTATATTCATTCTATGAACATTGTAGAGCGACATATCTGTAGAAATGTAGTTCATCCATCTATTTAAATCACTTATAAAGAAAAATAGTAGAACATTCTCTTTTCGTTCAACTTAACTCGATTGAGTGTAGAGAAAATGTTGGACTATTTTCGAACTATTCAATCATTCAGTGTACGAATATTGTCCCTATTGAATAAACAATCGCCGTAACTCGAAAATTTACTTCGTATGGAAATGTTGAATTCATTATTTATTTTATCACTATTCAATAATTCATTATAAAGCTGAATTTCAAATATTTCTCGATAATTCAAATGATTTCATTAATGAAATTATTTTCGAACGAATGAAAATTCAAAGAATATGGTATTAAATAAAAGTCATCTAGATCTATGAAAGTCTTCAAGAATGATTCTTATTTTACTATTCATTAGACTTTCGAAAACAATTTCTCTTTTTTGAAATTTCAACGATGACTTTGTTTATTCAGTTTTTAGATGAAATATTCATAGATTGGAGTAAGTGTTTGCAAATGAATAAAGTCAATATTCTGCTTATTGTTGAAAGTGTAATATTTACAATTAGGAACCATAAGAAACAATAAAATGCATAAATAAACAGAAGATCTTGAAAATATTTTGACTTTCTTCGAATAGAGTTTGTTAAACGATTCGAGTTTCTGAAACCTCAAACAGAATGAAAGACTGTTCTAATCGATACTATACGAATATTGCAGAATTTCTGTTTTTCTATATGTTTAGTTCAACATACTCACAGTTTTGCTGTTCTCCTTGAATGTAGATGATCCGATTCCAATCAATTCGATCATCATCAATAATAATGGTTTTAGTTGTATCTTTTCGAATAAATTTTTGAAGTGTTTCCTGGACTTCATTCAGTTTTTGTTTAAGTCGATCAATATCATTCTCAACAAAAGTTTCTTCTTCTCGATGACAACGAATTTCTTTTGTGATTGGTTCAAGTTGTTCTGTTATTTTGACTCTTTTTTTATCGATTAGTTCAATAAGTTCATGATGAGCTCTTTCTGCTGCTTTTTCTACTTTGTTAATTGTTGTTTTTTTCCATTGTTCAATTTGAGCAAAAAGATCCAATGATAAATAATTTGATTTTTCTAACTTTTTTATTTGATCAAGAAGTTCGTTGTGTGATCTTACTATTTCATTGTCGAATTTCATCGATAATTGTTGTTCATGTTCCTTGAAGTCTTTTGGACAAAAATATTTTTTACATCCAATGCAAAAGTATTTAACTGAAGGTTTATTGCAAATCGAACATAAATTGGTTTCATTTACTGTTGCCATTTGTCTTAGAAAATCAGTCGAATTATATAATTTATTTTGAGAATAACTGAAACAATTTCGATCTAAAATAAATTCATATGAATATTTATAAAGAAATAATTTAAAGAGATTTATTCAATATGCTTGATCTATGATCAGGAGTAAATTTTGTTCAACTATCTCAAATAAGGCTCCATCTGTGTTTAACAGAAACAAAATTACAGAGTCGTCGAACAAAAAACTTATCCACTCTGGACACGCAGTTTCTGAGTTCATAACATTCATTTTTTGAATCGATCTATTTCGCAATAGATAGAGCTCGACAAAGACTATTAATTAATAGTGTTTTTCTTTTGAGAATATTTTACCGTTAGTTAGCAGAAAAAATCAATTCAAAACAATATAATAAAATCTATTTCGAAACGAAATCATTTCTCCTATTGTTTCGATCGTTGGTGAAGTTTTCAATTATTCGATTATGAAACATTTTAATAATCTAAAATTCTCAAGCTATTTGCTAGACGTTGACAAATTAAGTAAACATAAGTTGTAGAAGAAAATTGTCATTTGGCTAAGACTAGTAAAATATCCGTACAATAGCGGGATTATGTGTTCTTTTTCATAAAGCAATCCATCGTACTAATTCGATTCTTTTGTCACTGAATTAATTTTAATTATGATCGAGTATATGTTGTAGATAAAGTGTTTCAATGACTATAACAATATGTAAAAAAAGATGCATAAATTTTGGTTGCATAATCTGAAGCAAAATATGGTATAATAGAGGACTACAGAGCAACGATTAGCATTAAACTAAAGCAATTGTCTGAAGATAAAAAGCTATTTGAAAAACGAATTCTTTTTTAACTCAAAATGCTTTACATTCTGAGTAGACCGCTTACTCATTAGCTATACCAAGTTTGAAATCAACAGTCATTGTTAGAGAATGTCTTTTTGTCTGCTTTTCAGTGAGGATATACATTTTCAGCATCGATTTCATACGTAATGAATTTATATTATCGCAGAAATACTTCAATTAAAAATTCGTCTTAAAAGACCAGAAAGAGTGTTGTAGAAGGAGATAAGTCTTGTTTTTAGCCATCCTATATCAATCATCAATCGACTCATAAACTTATGGCTTAATAATTACATAGATTTCGATCAACTTCAATAGTCTCGGACATATCAAAAGTTCATTTTGAGAACAAAAATAATATTTTAAAATAAATCGATGTATGCCAAAAGAAGTTAGTATTCGATGAAAATATATCTGAACTCAGTATACGAATTTCTCTATCATGGTGTTAGATCGTGCACATAGAATGACGATCTAAGACGAAAAAGAAAATAACATCGTCTCTTCTAGTCTAACTGGCTTAGGACATCTGCCCGGATAGCAGAAGGTGTGGGTTCGAGTCCCACGAGGAGCGCATCTTTTTCGTTCTGTCATTGTATCATCGCCTCCTTTCGACCGTGTATGTAACTCATGGCTACTTAGGTCGACAATAAACCGAGGGAAAACATTTGTAAGACTTGAATGAATAAATGAATCAATGAAAAGTCAACAAAAAATTCTCCGGCATTGCTTTGTTTGAATCAGTCTTGTTCTTAGTCAATGCAAAAGTATGAAACCTTTCACGAATTCTTTCTTGGAATGTGGATTCCAGCAAATTACACCTCTGTTTTAGTTTTAAAAAAATTTCGAAAACTCTATTATTTATACTGGTGTATTTTTTTGCTGATATATATGTTCAGAAGAAACTATCTTTTGTCCATATTTGAAATATATCGGTACCATAAAAAGACGTTTTAAAAGACACTTACACATAGTTAAAATATTTTAGGTGTTTGATCATTCTGTATATTTGTATTTTAGTTTACATTTATGTGAGAGAAAAAATTTTTAAGTTTTTGATAATTGAAATAATATCTTTAAACAAACCAATGACATATTCAGATAATGCTTGAAAATTACTATCATCATATGCATTTTTTTTGTTGATTGCATCCATGTGCTCAACGAAAAACTGCAAACTAATAGATAAACATATAGGATTAAAAGAGAATTTCAAGTGCTATGATAGTATGTGATTACTTTCTCCGAAATGTGTTTCTATAACTATGAAAATTTTAAACACCTGGTTTTTGATGGCAATGACAAAATCAAGTCTGTTAATCTGCTGAAGAATGTACTTTAATTATATTACATTTATTTCCTCGTGGATAAAGACATCATGACACCTATGAACCTATAGCAGGTAATAGAGACGTAGGAGTCACAAACAGGGTCCCGTCGAGGTACTTGTTTGTGAAAATATAGATTTTTATTAGGATAAATTGAACTTGATTTCTTCTGTCTAAAAAAGATAGAAAAAAAAACGAAAATGTTTAACAAAAAATAAACACTGACCGAGATTGCATCAATTGCGATTTCATGTGATAATTGTAATGAGAATCCGAGAGAAATTAATATGAGTTCATATAGGAATCTTTGTAAAATCAATCGAATCTAAGGGAATGAATTAGAGATGTAGCCTTCTCTATGGAACAGATTGTAGGTAAAGGGTAAGTTGAATATTCGCATACATACAGCGATAAACCTACTCACATCCTCTTAGATAGTGATTTTTTAAGATTTTTCAAAAGAAATAAAAAAACATTTTTAGCGGTTTTCATTAACATAACACGATTGTAAAGAAACATAAATATGACATTCAAAAGTAGCGTCAAAAACTACTCCGAGTCAGATAGACTTTAGAGAACTTTCTTGCGAAAAACCAACTCTTGGACAGCACGGAACAAAATTTGAGCAAAATACAGTCGTGGAAAACCGTAGGTTTTTTTCACAGGAAAAATCGTTCGTGTGAAATGTGTTGCACTTAATATTAGTTGTTAACGCTCTTTCTGATTGTCACATTTATTTTGCTGTGCAATCGTGCCGTAGCAATAAAAGCTGCTTAAAATGTTTTTTTTTCTTTTGAAAAAACATCAAAAATCACTAATTTAAGAGAGAGATGTAAACTTCGTTCGTACCGAAGGTAAACTTTTTCTTTCAGTATTTTTTTAGTTTTTATAGAGAATAAAAAGTTACACAATCTATTAAAAAGCTGGTACCATTTTTTTTTAAAAAATGGCAGCAAATCTATTATCAAACACAAACCATTATTCACTCATTAATTGAAAACTTTCTGACTAATGTTGGACTACAAAACTCTAATAGATACATGATGTGTAATAATTTAAATAATTTTTTTTTTAGCTTTCGATGGTTTATCTATTAGTTAAAATTGCATGGAAAAATTCTCTGACTTGTTGAATTATAATCTTGATAAATATTAAGGAACGATTTCCATCTATTTTGTTGATTGAAGATTGGCAGTACTCAAAAGTCGGTATTACCTAACTTTACTGCAGTTCATTCAAATGAACTAAAAATTCGGGTTTCATGGTTTCAGAAAATCACATTTTGAACTCACATACAAAAACAAAAATTAAAATTTTGACTACTATTTCATTTACTGGAATGATCTTCGATTTTCTCATGGATCCCCTCGTAAAGATTAAGTAACGAACTTTAACTTAATTTCAAGTTCATGTAAATGGTTCATTTGTATTTCAGACAATGAGCGATTTCAATGGATTCAACTATTTCTACACATAAATTTCTTACTCGTAATTTGATGAAAATATTTGTTTTGTTGTTTCGTAAGAAAGACATGTTGCGTAAAGTCAGAAGATGTGTAAATAAAAGACAACACAAAGCAAATGAAAGACACGGTTTTTTCTTCCTATGAAAGAGAAAAGAAAAGTGCTTGTACGTCTTGAATGCGACCAATACTGAAGAAGTTGCCTCTTTGAGGTAGAATTCTTCGGTGGCTGACTCACTCGAATAGAACTCATTATTTGACTGTAAAATGTTAAATGCCGGAGTTTTTTTTTTTTGAAAAAGTTTACGATTGGATTTTCAAGATCAAAACCCATTTTTCCCTTTAAACGAGCATTCGAGGTGTATCAGCCTTAACAACTACATTGAATGACCTACTCAGCTTGGCTATAGTACAAAAAATATTTTCAAGCTGCTATATATAAATAAAATATCGATTACTCTTATTTTGAATTCCTTGAAAAAGTTCCAAGTACTCATTATGAGCATTGTAGGAAAGTATTTTCTTAGATAAAATGAAGGATGATATAATTTTATGTAGGAAAAACTGACAATTTTATAGGTGTACTTTCGTTGTCTTTTTTTTGTTCCAAGCAAAAAAGTCGATCATAAAAAAAAAAGAAAATGTGATACATTGTATTTGTGAGAGGCGAATGTCCATTAGTGAACTGACATATCGACGTTGTAAACGAAAGAGAACAGAAAAATTTCTACAACTATGGTGAAAATAACACATTATTTTCTTTGCTTCCTATACGAAATTACAGAACAATGTTTGGCAATTACGTGCAAATGTTTATTATTCTGTAACTCCGTACAGAATAGAAAATAAAGTCGTGTTTGACTTTCCCTTATAGTTCTAATAATTTTTCTTGTTGTCTCTTTCGTTTCTAACCTGGAAAGTTTGTTCCATCACTTGTGATATCACACGTTAAAGAGTGGAACATCACAGGTTCCAAGAGCCTACAAGTACATATGAAAAAAGCTAAAAAGAATTATTTTGATTGATATAAACAATATCACCGTCTCATTATAAAAATGCACTATTTGTTCATCATATTTTTGGACAATTACGTAAAAGAGAGTTTGTAGAAATGTGTTTCAAGATATATAAAATAAAATATACCCCTGGCAAAAAGCAGAAGCTACATAATGTCCTGCGTATTGATCCTATAAAAATTGTACTAACTGCTTTTTCAACCTGTATTAAAAGTATTCGCTTCAATCATGCCTGATTTCATTGAACTCTCCCAGAAAATCTCACTAATGCTCATTTCAAAAAAGAAAAACTGTCAGTGTTTTTTGAATCACTTTTGATAGAAATACGGTAGAAACTTGTGGTTTTCACTGTTGTAAAAAATGTACTCAAAATGTATCGAATTGTATCATGAGGATGGAGTTTTTATTTTTAAGAATGCATTGAAATTGCCAATGAAACATCTACCAAACTGCACTAGTCCTAGATTTTGAATCAGGTTGAGTCGGGTGAGAAGCATTTTTGTCCTTTTTTTACTTGATTTCTGTGTGAGTTGAGTCATAAGCTGGCTTTTGAAATTGAACTGACACACATAAATGGATTAAAGTTATTCAAGTATTTTAGTGACAAGTGAAAATGCTGCTGGAAACACTTTTCTACGATGCTTTCTAATAGAGAGAAGGTGCTTCTATTGAATTAATTACACGATGTCGGCACATGTACATCTTATGATTGAAGGAAAGTTTGTGCTCTCATGTTTACATTCATGAGGAGCGATTCGCCTTAGTTTTTGTAGTCAAACGTAGCTGTTAACTTATCATCTATATTAGTATAACGATGGGCTATGGTTTCTCTCAAGAAGTAAAGTAATTAATGTTCAATATGATCAAATCTGTAGAGAATGAAAAGAACACTTCTGTAATCACGCTATATTGATATCAATGATCGACTGCAATATATGCTTGGGGGGTTTCTTTGTCATCCGTGAATAGAAGAGATGAGCGAAGACGAGAACTGGTTGACTGAAGAAAAGAGAAATAAATTTTCATATCTTCTTGAAAATTGTCAGAAGAATGATAGAAATAAAAAGGGGAAGATGATTCAAAAAAAAATAATTTTGGTTTATTTTGTCAATAGACTAAGATTTTGTGTTACTAAGGCAATCTTTATTTTTTGAAAAAAAGCTAGAAAACATAATTTCCTTCTTTCATGCAAAGAATCATTTTCTTATGAAATTGTAAGATTAAAATAAAGAAGATATTTGATACAAAGTAATGAAAAACTATTAATTTTCATATTGTAATTGTTGTGTCCATTTGGTTAATAAATACATAGATGAATATTGATTACAATAATCATTAGAATCAATTTTTCTCCAATCAATATTTAATTTTGTTCTAACTTCATCATAAATAAATACATAAGCATCTGGAAATGTATTTAAATCTTCAATTATCTTTTCTTCACCATCTTCTAATTCATTAATTAAAATATCTTCTACATATCCACCTTCATCTACTAATGTTCGATATGTTGGAAATTGTTTTTTTAATTCAATATCTTTTTGAATAATATTATAAATAGGCATTAATTTATTAATTAATTGTAAATAGATCCATCGATACATTAAACCAGGTGAAAGATGTTTAAAATAATATAATGGTGCATCATTAAATAAAGATGGAATTCCATAACCATCTGATCCCAATGATGGAATTAAAATTAATTCATATTTATTATTAGAAAATATTTTAAAATTATTAATAGAACGATCATTTTCATTTATAATACCGTTTTGTTCAATAATTTTTTGTATGTATTGTTTAAATTTATTTAATAATTGTTCGAATGTTCCTTTTTGAGCTTTATAAACATAAAATGAAAATTGTAAACGTTCATTTCTAAATTGTATAATATCACCATGTTTTAATTCATTGAGATTAGGAAATACATTTTTTAAATTATTATTTAATTCTAAATTTCTTTGTTCACATTTATTTTTATCTTGTTCAATTTGAATGTGTTTTGATTCACGAAAAATATTTTCATATGTCATATTTTCTATTATTTTATAATCATTTAATTCTTTTGCTTTTTCAAAATTTTCTTCTCGAATCTTTTCTTCTTCTTCTCGTTTTTTAATATTTTCTAATGAATAATATTCACACAATTTATAATGTTCATTAATTAATAATTGATAAAATGTTTCATCTAGTAAAACATAATTAGCTTCTACACGTGATAAACCAACTAAATGTGAAATTGTTGATTGTTTTTCTTCTATGAGTTCTTTATAGCCAGATAATGCTAATAATGAATGAGATAATACAACATTATTTGCTGGTAATTCCCAATTTGAATATTGATATAATTTTGGTAATGATGAACTATATTTGTTGAATGAAGTATTCATTTTAAATTCAACGTATTATACGAAAGTGTAATAATAGTTCTAAGCTCTTTCTTTTTTTGATATTGCAGATTGAAATAAAACGGTATTGTTTTTTATTTTATAATCGTGGAATTACTCAATAAGGTTGAAATAACAGAGAATCAAAGAAAAGTACTTTTATACGACATTCATCAGATGTTTGATAGCAGATATAGAATATTCATACTCGATGATAAAAAAGACAGAAAAGAACAAAAATTTTACTAGATGGTTTATCTTCTTTGCTCTATAGAAATAAAAACTATTTATTATTAGAAAATAAAGATGAATAAATTATCTATTTTTGCCATGAGAGAACTTTTCTGCGCTATCTTTAAGCAAAACTAATAAAAAATTGAGGTAGCCGATAGAGATTGATTCAAAAGGTTTTCTCATCTCTTTTATTTCAATCGTTGAAAAATAATTTATTGTGTTTTTCTGAAATAAAAATCGACTAAGACTATTCTCAATCTGCACAATATTGATTCGACTTGGAAACACTAAATGGTTATCACGACGCAGAAAAAGCAGCAATTTTAGGGATTTTTTTTCGGAACTTGTACAGGTTTTTTATTTCATTTTTCGACTTTCATTTATTTTGAATCGCTTGATCTTAAAATACATTCAACACATCAACCAATATTTCAAACTCTTAAAGGTTGATCGTTTTACTATTGTCTCGATTGAGGAACATTGTTTTCATAATCTTGCTCATTTTCAAATAAACCATAAATGCAAAAAGATAACGAAACGCTGTGTTTGTAATGATGTAGATAAAATTTCATGGCACCAATTTATGTACATCTTATAATTTCAAAGAACTCTTTCAATTACTAAATCCTATGCATTTTTCGAAGATGACATTGAAAAAAAAGTGTATTGAATTCTGTATTGATAGTTAAAGGAACAGCGGTCTCAAACAAGTATCAGAAGATTAAACTGTTCTGGCTGATGCAGCCCTTCTTATTTCATTTTCTATATAATCCTTCAAATACGCACAAAGCACGGATTTGAATCGACGTAGAACTTGCTCAGAGAGACTTCATACAGGTGTTCAAAATGTTTTATAGGATGGGTACAGTTATGGATGTGAGCGTGGGTTTCAAGTGTTCTTCAACTCATATGCTTAAATGTAATGCGCTGTTCTATGCAAATATCATTGTATATTTTCTCCTCGTAATAGCATGAAATGCACAGAAAGGCAATAAAGAGGGAAATAATATTGTGAGAATGAAAAATAAGCAATAACGAGGATAGTCTTGCAAAAGAAACTACCTATTTGATAAAAATGTCATGGCTCATTGATTCATATAAACATGAGTAAGTGAGAAAAAGTCAACTATTTTCGTCCATCATTAATATGAAGCAAAATTAATTGCACGAACACAAAACAAAACTCACACATTTGAATATCATTTAACCAGTATGTATATCAGCTTGTCCAAGCGTAACGCGATGACGTTTTGTCCACAGTTTTATTAACTTTTCTCAATAATGAGGTTGGCTAGAAGGCTCGTGCTTTCGGTGGAAGATGTGGCTCAGTCTTCCCCTAAATCTCTGAAAATATGAACTCATTTGAACAAGCCGTTTGAAAATTGTAGCAAAAATATGTGACGTAACGCGATGATGAACAAGGGACAAAAAGTTGATGGTGACATGGTTGTTCTTTATCTTTCTGGGAATGTATACTACATTAAAAGAAACGTCCCATAGACGGTATGTAGCTAAGAGTTTGAGGTATCCAACAGATAGAAAAAATTTCCAAACAGGCCTCTTGTTTTGAAGAGTGATCAGTTTCATTAACGTAACGCGATGACGGGCTCGTAACGCGATGACGATGACTTTTGTAATAGGTTTTTTTATGCTTCATTTTGTCATATGTGCACCTCTGTAAAGACCAGATGTCATTTTTATTCTAAGGATTAATGTGTGCACATGTTAAATACTGTGTTTATTAATCCTTTTAGTACAAAAAAAATTGTAAAAAAAGATCATCTACTTTCCCTGATATGCATAGCAACGCCTGTGTAAAAGGTAGGAAAAACTCAAAATTTCAGTAAACATTTTTTCTCAATAATTTATATGTGGTTAGAGAGAGCTCATAAAACTGTCTAAGAAACTGTACTTTAAAATCTTTTTTCACTCTTTTATATACATAAAAATCTCAAAATACTAAGATTATTCCATTACTGAGATCATTCTTAATGAAATGATCTCAATATTTTGAGTTTTTTATGTATCTAAAAGAATAAAAAAAAAATTAAAGTGCATTTTCTTAGACAGTTTTATGAGCTCTATCTAACCATATATAAACCATTGAGAAAAGACTTTTACTGGAATTTTGAATTTCTCCGACCTTACGTATATATCATAGGAATGATAAACGATTTTGATCGGTAATTTAATTTTAATTAAGTTCAATCAGCTTGTTAGACCAATCACCTATATTCTTATGGCAATTTGTTAGTAATCAATAAAAATGTACATTACTCACAGCTTACAGTGGTTTTTGAATAATAAATCACTATCTGAAAAAGCTTTTTATAGATATGCAAAAAATGTAGAAAATGGTAAAAAACGTCATCGCGTTACGTCAATAATTACAAAAGGAAATTTTTTTCAGATAAAAATATGTGCATCAGATAGCCCATAAAAAATTAGCTTTAGGTATGGATTTTGTATAAAAAAAGTTGAGACAAACCAGGGAAAAACAAACAATACTCATTTTTCGTTACGCGATGACGCTTTCAATTCGGTACTTTTGCTTGATGCGGTAGTAAAAGACTCTAGCAAGTAGGAAGTCGCTTGTTTTGCCAAATGATACTTCTGCTACCGTAGAATCAATTGCTCTCAATTATGTATATATTCATCACACTGTTTCGATAGAAGGGTTGGACTAATTATAGGGTCCAGATGGTTATTCTCCTATACACGTTTAGTGACACCTTTATTAACAATTATCAAATATGATTTTCAGCACTTATTAAAAGAACAAAGTATATTTCTGTATACTATAGACTGTACTCTACAATGTAGCAATGCCGGGTTGATGAAATGATGACTTCGAATTCTTGGTCAGAGAGGTGACGCGTTACGTGGACAAGCTGATATATGATTTCCAACATTATTATACTATCTTAAAAATCGAGAGTAGTTACAAGTAACAAAGCACAAGGGAACATGAAAATACGTCACCTTAAGTAACAGTAAATCATTGTCAAGAAAGCTGTGATTGACAATGTTCAGGTGACCTTAGTTGAAGCAGTTAGTCTTACTGAAAGCTGTATCAAACAGAATGACCTTTGCAATGTTTACATTTCATCTAAAATGATGGTAATAGATGACTTCTTATAGAATTTTTTTAATGATGTAGAACATAATAGCAAAAGATCTTCGTTCATAGAATTAAAGAACCTCACAATTTTTCAAATGCACCTAATAGCAAAATTTTTTCACAAAAAACATTCTTTTCATTCTTCTAAATGAGTATAGGCCAAGGAGTATAACATTTTAGAGACATTTGTTTGAAATTAGTTCAAATAAAAGCATCCTTATGAACATGGTATATAGGCAGATGATATTGAGCTGATTTATATACTGTAGTCGTAGTTTTAAATCAATCAGGGCAACGATATGAGAGTATTCAGATGGATTGGTTTTTTTCCAGGAGAAACTTTGAGAGACTATATGTTGTTTTACTATCGTTATCTGTAAGATATTTCAGGAAATAAGCTTTCGATGTTGCATTTCTCCTTCTAAGTTATATGTTATTTACAAAGCGATCAGTAGGATTCGACAGTCTTCCATGATTGCCATGTGACCGATGCGACAGACGAAATGCTGGTCTCAGTATTTTCATGATAAGTTTTACAATTTGTCTCCTTTAAAATGAAGCTTTTTGGAGTGTGGGTGTCGGTTGAGAGACACTTGACATTCACATCCACCACGCTCCGTTGTATAATAATCTAATTCTTCATTCTGACAAGGTTACTTGCCGAAAACCGAATAATGTGTAATACAAATTCGTCGGATACGATTTACTTCCAAATACAAGAGCCAGGTAAAGCAACAGTAGGTTTTGAAAATCACGCCGACTCGCGAGTGCTCAATTTGGCCAATACGGAACTCGCTCAAACACCTGATTCGATTGAAATTTTCTGGTCCTATCCAACTGGAACCATGACTTTGATCATTGAAACACCATATACAAAACAGCATCAACCATATACCATTTCTCTCCATGCCGAACACCTAAAACCATCTATTGAACATATTTATCGACTGTTAGACGGTAAACAAACTGAAATTCCGATGAACGATACAAACATTGTTCAAAAATCGGACTCTAATTATCAAGTCATTCTTCAACTTCAAGGTTCGCCACAAATGAAAACCTATGGAGTTTACATCAAATATGATATCTTACCAAATTAAAGAGACACAACTTTGTTCAATAAACTTTGATTGTTAGTTAACTCCGAATATTAACTAAACATGTATTGATTACTAACCACTCGCATTTTTATGACTCTTTTGGCGATACTTATAACCAACATTTTTCTTAATCCACCTATTAAAATAAATTTCCAAAATTCGAAGAGATCTGAGAAGCATTAACACTAAAGCATTCCAGCGACTATCTGTCGTTGATTCAGCTGCCCATCAGTAGTAATTTTTTCAGAAGGTATTTTTTAACTTCATCTACGGTTTCTTGTTGCATTATCTTAAACTTTCTATAGCATTTGAGCTCTACTTAATTTTAAAAAGTATTTTTGCGAACCTTATTTCATGGATAAATAAAATTGACAACAGTTTTTATCCAAAGACTTACTTTATTAAAAATGTATAAATTATTAAAGAACTAGTGGTACAATAAATAAATGTACGTGCACTTTCTACTTGAAAACATGTGCCTGTAATCAAGACCGATTTTCATTATCGAGGAAAACAGTCATGTATGCTGTCATATTCAGTTTTCGGTC